AGTGTCTCATTGCTCCTGTCAGGGCCTTGGTTGATAGTTACTGGTAGCAGGAGTGGCCCAAGGCTTCAGAGAGTCAAAATGGCATTCTGGCACTGAGTTGCTCAATATGAAGAGAACAAGATGGGTTTTTTACTGGGGAGTTAATGGAATACTACTAATTCTAGGTATTTGCTGGCAATATGATTACCCAAATTATCACTGCTGGTAGCATGTAGCCTTGCTGAAGTGACAGTGGTGGTGTGTAGAGTGAAGACTCTAGTGTGATATGGTTAACTCTGATGACCCTAAGGATTACATAAGAGAGGAAGGACCGTTTGAAGGTCTTGAATGCTCACTTCATGTCAGAGCAGAAGTTGGAATGTCAAAGTCCTCTGTCAGCTTTAAAGGAGTCCTTATTTACCTAAGCCTCAGGGCAAATAAGGCTGAAAACCAACTCCAGAATCTGATTTGAAGGGTTATAGAGTTGCCACACTAAATAAAATGGGTAGTACCAATACAACCTGGTCATGGCAATGGATTAGTGAAACATGGAATGGTACTATCTGATCAAATACCAAGGCGCAGAATGTTGAACCTGCAAACACTTCCAAACCGCCCTTGCTGGAAGACACAGTCCTCATTCCCCACTTTTCCATCTAAGGAAACTAATGTTCCATAAATCAGCATTCCCATAAAGTAAGAAGACTTTCGATTGTTTCAGCTGAGGCAAGAACCCAATCAGAAAATGGCAATTCTTTTCAGGACTCATTCCTATTAACTCTCATTGCCCCTAGGCTCATAATAAGTTACATTCTAATATAACCAAAATCAAGGCCTGATCCAAGAGGTGACAGCCCTATACACTGAAAGAATCACAAAACGGCCAGTTGTACCAGCAGGAATCCAGTTAGCACGTAAGGGAATGAATAGATTTTAAGTGTTTTACAATAAGAAGATGAAACAAAATACTAGATTGGGCCAAATTTTTATCAATATATATGCATTCACCTGGATTTGGGATTTACTATATTGCCTTGAACAAGTGGGAGTGACTGACTAATTGAATCCTTGATTCAATGATGGCTTATTAGTCAAAAGTTGAAATGCCAGGGTTTCCTGGCATAGCAAAGAGGAAGAACAACAAAAGCTCAAATAAGTAAGAATAATGGAAAGGATCTATTATGAAGCATCCGGTTCAGCCTGCCACTTACATACTTCTAGAAGGGCCTGCGGGAAACTCCCTTCACCAAAGAATTACACTGGTCATTTTAAGAAGCCACATGCTTGAAAAGCTTTATGGTAATTGTCTTCTCTAGGCTGGAGAGAACAATGATAGATGTTGCAAACAGATCTGGCCTCCTTGATTTAAATGTATATGTGATCTCAGAGTGGCAGAGGCTCTATGGTAGGAAATGGAAATACCAAATCCTACCGCAGATTATTAGTCTATTAGATTAGCTCTAAATTGACATTAATCTCTGGAACCCAAAATGCCATTGTAGTTGACCAGTTCAAGGGGGTATATGGAGGTCAAGGTATATATGTAGGCTTTACCCAAGTCCATCTTACAGTATTTTGGGAATAAATAAACTTAGTAATGGATAGAATCCTTATGTTGGTTCCCTGACCTACAGCTATCATGGAAAGCCAAGAGCTGTGCTTGTCCAATGCAAGTATGAATCAGACACATGATTCTACATTTTCTAGTGGCCACATTTTAAAAAGGTGGAATTAATTTTAATAGATTTCATTTAATAAGAAAATATCATTTCAACACGTAGCACTAGCCACAGGAGGCTAGTTGCTACCAGAATGGAGATCACAGCCCTAGACTTAAAGATACTAAACTAAAACTGAAAGATGTTGGCATGGGGATTCCTACTACATACCCATTTATACTGTCGATGAGGTTAATGCAAGCTAGATGGTTCTGTGGATGCGTGCAGTTTCAATCACATCTAAATGCCAACTCCAGATGCAGTTCTAGCTGTAATACCGCTGCTGGCACATATTAACATATAACATAGCCCCTGATACCAGGTATGGAGATACTGACTCAACGATTTCTTTGGAAAATAATTCCTTATCAACAGATAATCTGAAGCACTTTGCCTTCACATTGCAGGGAGAACATACTTTTATTATCTTAGCTTAAGGCTAGGTCAACTCTTCTGTTATAATACAGTCCAAAGAAGTCTAGTTCATCTTGACAGCCCACAGAACATCAAGTTGGAACGTTACATTCACGGTACTGACTGGACACGGTGAGCAGAAGTAGTAAATACCTGAGATGCCTCCGTAAGATATATGCCAGAGGACAGGCGATAACTGCCACAGAAAGTTCGGAGAAGCACAGTATTAGTGTAATGTTATGGATTTGGTGGTCTAGACATGTTGAATTAGGTCCTCTATGATAAATGAAAATGGGTGCACTTTGCAAGTTTCACCATGAAGGAGGCATGGTTTGTATGCTGTTCTGATGCATGTGCTACATACCCAAGGGAAGAGTCTTTCCACCAGGGATCAGAGGTCTGGAACTGTCATATTGGACTACCCCCTGACTACTTGAGGCATCTCAAGCTGCTAAACTAAGAGGGAGAGAAGTGGGCTATTGGTTGATAACTTTTCTAGACTACTAAGATGATTCTGGGTTGTTATGTTTGGAATTCAGGTATCTCTTTTAAAAAATGTTCCCAATAATCCTAGTTACTGAAAAATTGCAGTAATGCAAAGAAAACAGGATAGTCAAGTCCTCAGAATTTGTAGAAATTAATGTTTGGGTCACTCATCAGATAAAGAATCCTGTTCAGCCCAGGTGCTAAAAACAAGGGTAAGAATAAGGAAAAGATGGAATTGGTAGCAGAAGAAAGCTGTAATAACCAATTTGGGCTTTCTGAACAATTAGAGGGCATGGAATTTAGCAGCTATATTTTATGTTGTATCTATTACAAAAAGCATTGGCAATGGCAAATATTTTAGATTACAGTTAGAAATGTAACTGAATTCATATCACCTGTTGATGATGCAGTAGGTGGATGACAACTTCCTCTCTCTCTCACTGCTCTGTTAAACTCTCTTTAATTAGCCAGTTTGAGTATACTATCTATTTACATATCTACATAATCATGACTTTGTATACCAAACTGCAAAATAATAGCATGAGTGCAGTTAGAGGGTCCATGTCTTTATTTTTTTTGAACCTCAAAGTAGCAGTGATTTATTTACGAAATATGCAATTTCACAGAAACAGCTTCACTTTATACACACAAACTTCATAATTACACAGAACCATGTGTTGTCAAGTGTCTGGCCTGGTGAAAGCCAATGGGAGTGGCCTGCGTTTGGAGTAACATCTTTCTCATTCCTCACTTCATTAGCCGCCAACCAGGAACCTCTAGATGACTCATGACTAATTTGCAAAACAGATGCTGATTGCAACTGCCTAGAGTTCAGAAGAAACAAAAACCAAGGTGTCTTCTTAGACACCACCCACAGGGATGGATGTGTTAAAAGAACAAAAAGGAAATCAAGACAACACAAATTGAGGTATTGAAAGCCTTCCAGAGGTTGAGCTTTGAAGGCATTGAACCTCCTAAGGGCAATATAGCAATCCCAGGTAAAGTAGCATGTGTACATTATATCATGATATTAAAAGCAACACAATTTTGCAGAAAATGAAATAGATGTTTAAAGTTATATTTTCTCCTCAACTTCACGTAATAGATAATGTTCATGAAAATTGATGTTTTACACCATCTGTGGTCAATTCAATAATGCTTTAATAAGCCAGAGTACATGGCTAGGTGAAGGAATTAACTGTCATGTCTTAAAAATATCCTTCAACACAGAATCATTTTTATAATAAAGATGTAATTTTCATAGCATAAGTTAAAAATAAAATATAAAATGTCATAGTTGGAAATAAGGGAATTACTTTGAATCAAGGAGGAAAGTATATATATACTTAAAATATTTTGTTTTTATGTTTGCAATCATTTTATTTTTCCATAACTGCTCCAAATTTACAAGTTAATGCCTAAAATAGTTTTACACATTTCACATTCACATTAAAAACCAAGTAAAGCCTTAAGGATTAATACGGAAAATGTAAAAAAAGATAATACAAGCATTACCTCACAATCCATAGCACTCTCTAATACAATTTATCAATGCAGATGAAAATATCACTTCCATCAAATCTTCATATTAAAATTAAAATTTAATATGTCATTATGGACAGAAGGAGGATATAAAACTGGCTTGAGAGTATTCTATATTAATTTTCCACCTTTAACTTCTTAGTTATGGCAATTCATGCTAAAAGCCAAATGAGATTCATTCAGATTTCTAATCATTCTTTGTCTTTTATGTACTATATCCTAGCATTTTAAAAATATCACACTTACTCTAGATTTTTTAATGATGATTTATGAAGCAAAGAAAAGTTTCAGAGAAAATCCAATGACTACATTTTGAGAGTTAAAGAAACAAGGCATGTTTAAAGAAAATATAAAATACTCTAACAGCCAATTTTCTAATAAGCATAATATTTTCAAGCTTAAAAATAGCAATGTTTGTTTTCCCACTGAGGTCCCAGGCTGTACACTCTATCAGTTGAAAAGTACCACAGCCTTCATCTCCTCTATGGTAATATCAGCATGTAACTATGGTATTTTACTCGATTTTCCATTAGCCAGGATTAACCATAATTATTGAATTAATAATTATAAAATTAAAAATCATACAGAATCTATAGAACAGTTGTTTCCTTACTTCAATAGCTTGAAATAAAAGATTCTTCAGTTGATGGTGCTACTTTCTGCCAAGTCTGTAAGTCTAAAAAAAGGAAGGGCCATATGCATCTTGGAAGATTTATCAGTTATTCAATGTACACAAATAAAAATATTGTTGAGCTCATTCCTAGCTATGGACCAAAGCTGTAAGTTATTCTGTATTACTCTATAACACTTTCCTGAATTCTTATATTTTAGCTTTCTTCTCAAAGAGTCAGTGACACTTACCAGAGTGGGTCCTGAGGTGTCCTGTGAGGGCGTCCCTTCTTCTACAGGCATAGCTACAAAAAGGACATTTGAACGGCTTCTCTCCAGAGTGTAACTTTATGTGTCTCAAAAGGTTGCCCTTCTGAGTAAAAGAGGCTCCACACTGGTTACAGTGGAAGGGACGTTCACCTGCCAAAAGGAACAGAAGTGGGAACGATCGAGTGGGTTATGTGTAAGGGACTGATCGGCTGTACGCTACTAACTGGCGGCGGCTCTCTGCTGAGAGTTTTCTCCCTCCTCAGACTTCTGAACCTTTTTCTTCCTAAAATTTGTTAATACTGATGCCTTAAACTTTAGGTCAAGCGCGGTTTTCTCTCCTCATACAATTTTACCGGATTCCTGTTACTGGCTCAAAAGAATCAGTAATCGCATTGACCACTGTTTGAACAACTAAGTGCCATCACTTCACTGACTTTACTGGTTGCTTTACATAGAATATTTAAAATCTTAAAGTGATATTACTAATTAGGCATCTATAATTTCAATTTGCAAATGAAGAACTTGAAGTTCAAGTATCAAAGTATCTGATTATATTCACGGAGCTAATAAGTACTCAAACTGATAGGAATCTTGCTCCATTGGACTACAAAATCTTGCTCTATTGAACCATGCTATATCTCTTTTAATATTACAGAAATTTTGAATTTGAGTTGAATTTTGAATCTTTAGTCTAACTCTCTGATTTAGCCTTTGATTTTGTCCCTGGGGGCCAGGTTACAATGTTCATTATCACGAAATCTCCCCAAATTAGCCCAGGCCCAGGTCTCTCCATTCTCCTAGTCACTAACAGTGAAAGCTTTGGCAAAATTTCCTGACATAAACAGGAAAAGTCCAAAGAAAATTATTCATCCAGATATTCCCTGTTTTCTTTTTGTTTTGAAAATAATTTCAGAGAAACGTTTTCCCTCTTTCCTCCATTACTGGATACTGCTATAAAATTGTTAAGCCAGAATCACCAGTTTAGTCTATTGTCATCAACTGGCTGTCACGAAGGTCACTGAACATAAAGACATAGAGTTGGGGAAGCAGTAAAATTAGCATTTCGGGTCAAACCACGAAGAAAATACTATTATTTTAAGTTTGCTGGTCTCTAAAGATATTCATGAACTAAGTTATAAATTAATATATACACAGTACAAAATAGTAAAGTTCAAAGTTTAGAACGGACATAAAATTTTAAAAAAATTAAAAAATTCTTTTTAATTTTTAAAAAAAATTTTAAAAGTTTAAAAAAACTGGACTATTTCTGTACTTGAGGTCAGATGAAGATTGCAATTTTAATACTTAAAAATTTATACTGAATTCTCATGTTTTATATCTTTAACTGAAACATTTGAAAATAGTGAATAATGAAACCTCCTTATTTTGGGGGGGCCTTTAATTAATGCAAACTCAATGATTCCTTCTATTAAAGGAAGCTAGGAGTCATAAAGAAGATAAATTGGCCATTTTCTTGCAGTTGCCACTGCATATTCTATCATATAGATTTGTTATAAAACCTAAAGAAATAAAAAATGGATACATCAGGTGTATCTCAAATTCTGTACTATTTTCTCATTTTGGAACTTTATGAGATACATACCAAAAAATTGTAATCTATGTGCTCATGTAGGAAGGGTAAAAGTTTTTCTAACAAAATCTGGAGATCTGAATTACATTTACAAAAAGGCCTTGTACTAGTGTATCATGAAAAAAATTATTTTAAAGTCACCTTAAATTTTATCTTATTTCATTTGTTTGATTCATTTGATGAAATTGACAAATCAACACTAAATACAGCTTAAAAGAGAAATACTTTACCGAAAAATCTCTTATATGAAGTCTCACAAAGGAATCAAAGTTTGAAAATAAATCTAAATTTGGTAAATCTTTACACACATATGCACACACAAACACACACACATAACAATTTGTTGGCTTTTTCTTTCAATGAAATAGCAGTCTACAGCTCTTTAAAACCAGGAATTTCTACTTCCCACCCATGCCATGGAATTACTAATAAAAAAGAAGAATGCATTTTCTTCATGAGAATTTTTATACCACAGGAAAATAGCAAATGCAAATTATACTTTCCCCTCCAAATACTTGATTTTACTTTTGAAATCTGTCTGGGTCTTCCAGGCAAGTAATAAATTAGTATGCAATAACTTTAAAATGAATTAAATCAGTTTGGTGAACAAAAAACATTTGAAATCATGTTTGCCTTTAGAAAATACTCCTGTAACATGCTAACTTAGATTTTCATTAAGCCTCCTACAATTGAAATATTTAAAAATTCCTAATTTAGAGTACTGAATTTATCATTCCAAGTAATGCTAATCAAAAAAGAAAAAAATAACAAGGATAACTCTCTTTAAAAAGAATTTTGAAATTCACCTAATTGAGTTTATGAGACCAATGAAAGAGTAATTTTATTTTTACACTAAAAAATATTCCAGATATCTTCAAATATGTTTTAACAGAATTGCATCTGAATTTATATGATCATCCTTAAAGGGGCAGGAGAAATGAAAAGGGGTTCTAGGTATATTAGGAAATACAGTCTGTTGCTGGGTGTGTCTTAGTGTGGAGTCTTTTGCTAACTATATTCCCATGGCCCTGAGAAATAAAGAAAGGCATGATGAAGGTTTACAAATCCTGTTCCCATTTTTGATAAGAGGAAAGAAGCAATCATAGTAATGCACTTTGATTTCAGCTGGATGAAGTTTTGAGAAATACTGATCTACATGGATTAAGTCTTGAATTGGGATTATGAGAGACATGTAAAATGATCTGATATTTAAGTAAAAGGTTCATATATTGTGTCTGTGCCTTGAAACAACACATCTCAATTATTTTTTAAATAATTTGCTTTTTCTTTAATAAACAGGCTTACTCAACTAGTTCTTTTCAAATCAGTTGAGACTTTGCCTGAAAAATATATTAATCATGTTCTTCTGATATAAAGAAAAGCAAACTTCAGGAAAACACCACAAAGGTACTAAATACACTATACCCTAATCCAGCTGAAAAAATCAAGTAGGCTATTGTATCTGTGATAACCAGTTCCCCATGGGCGGGTACAGAAGTCTGGATTAACAACTCTGAATCCAGGAGAACAATTAATATGTAGACATGCTATCATTCATTTCCATTCTTAATCTGCTTTTTTTTTTTTTTTTTTAATCTGCTAATCCGCTCAAGGACCTTTTTTAGTTATTCCCAGAATGAAGTTATTTATTCTTATTTTGAAATAACTTGTATTTCACTATTTTATGTACTTTCATAAACACATTATTTCTAGGTGTGTGTTTAAAGATTCAACTGAAATACAAGTATACATGTATCAGTTTGCTTTGGTGCATCAACGACAGGGTGTTCTGTGTTGGATGGAACAACCACCTAAAAATATGAAAAATCCCATGTACCTGTTGAGAGGGCCTTGGAGCACAAGAATGATTCCACAAAGCTACAATGTACACAGAGTTACGAAGATGGGAGTACTCTACCCCAAGGGAGGGCAAAGTTAAGGACAGTCTATATTTATAATGGTCCACATCAATTCATGTTGAAGCATGAATTGATTTACTACCCCTACTTCTTTTACTCCACCCCTGTCGCAGTGAAGAGTGCCTGGAGTATCCGATGACAATATTACCTGATTACCTACTAAAGTGGCAACACCAAGAAATAACACCAAGCCATGTATAAGACACTGGAATTGGCACTTTAGTAGAGTTTGAAAGAGGAAAAGAAGAAGAAGTGAATTAGGTATGATACTCCACATCATTTTAGTAAACTGGGTGGTTGTTGTGTATCTTTTTCTACTATCCATTTTATAATGGATATTCTATGACACACAAATATGTTTTGCTTTATAAGGATTTAAGACAGTGCCTTTTACACTAGCTATAAATAATTGGTGAAAGGGGGAAATTCTGAAATGAAGACAGTAGTTCATGATTAATGAGAAAACATTTCGTTAATGACTAGATTTCAACCACATTTTTTCAATCTAAAGTTAAACACACACACACACACACACACACACACACACACAAAGACTTTGTATTCTCAGAGTACTAAAAGGGATTTGAAAAGGTCATGACCTATTCAGATGTATAAACTGGGTCATCAGAAATACATATAAAAACAGCTAATTTTTAATTTTATTTTTTTAATATTTTATTTACTTGACAGCCAGAGACAGCCAGAGAGGCAACATAAGCAGAGGGAGTGGGAGAGGGAGAAGCAGGTTTCCCTCTGAGCAGGGAGCCCAACGAAGGGCTCAATCTCAGGACCTCGGGATCATACCTGAGCTGAAGGCAGACATTTAACGTCTGAGCCACCCAGGTGCCCTAAACAATAGCTACTTTCAAGATATATCACAATTTCAAGGTCAACATGTGTGGCAGGTATCCCGAGCTCCTCCATGAATGGCTTTTAACTTTAACAAAAACTTTCCAGATCTGAGGAAAGTAAAATTTTTACAAAACTCCAATAAACATTAATTGACAATAAAGTTCATCAATTTGCAACAGGACTTTAGTTATTTTGTCCATTCTCCTTTCCTTTACTAGTTGAGTGAATCCCATATTCATAGAACTTGTGGAAATCTGTATAACTATTTTAGGAACATTTTCTGTGTCAATTTGATGATTTTTCAGAATCAAAATAATTCAACTCTACTATAGTTGTAAATATTAAATAAGCAGTAGAGTCAGTATGTAATTACTCTTTTGTTTACAAACCAACAACCCTCATAAAAATCACTACAAATACAGTGGAACATTGATTAACCTAAATATTCAAGAGAGTACACTCAGGTTCTTTGAATTTTCTTGGCTCAGACCATAAAAGGTTTATTAGAAATCTTACAAAAAATTGTTGCTAGTATACTTTTCAGCCTTAAAATGCACACTATATGCAATTCAGCTGAAATTGACTACTTTAGTTTATATGTTGCTAGAGGAGGGAAGTTACACATTTGAATGGGTATTATCTTCCTCAGTATAATCACTGTGAGATAATGAATACATTATAACTTTGTAGAACTCTTCTTTTAGAACTGCAGTTAACATTACTTCATGAGCATAGAAGAAAAGTAGACTCATTATTTTATAGCCTTTTCATATCTTTCTTATCGAATACCAAACTTGATGTTTTAACTTTTCTAGAAAATTTTTTTTTAACTAAGGGAAAAAACACCTGCACCAGTAATACAAATATTTTAAAAATATGTTGTTTAAAAAGGAAATTAAAAACAAAACCGAAAGTAAACATGTAGCTATAGAATTAGAATGAGGGTACAGGATCCAAACCTGATGATTTTGATTAAGATAACACTGATTTTAATGTGTAACTCCGTACTATAATTTTTAAGCCTTATAATCATATCTCATCATTAAATGTTGGTGCATTAGGATACCAAGAATAGTACATTTCAACAAAACCAGTCTGGGCATCAGGAAACCTTGATTTTAGCCTCATAATGTCCTAACTACATAAGGGATAATGGACAAATCACTTGACTGTAAATGTGTAAATGAGAGATTTGGGTTAAAAAGACTACAGTGTACCTACCTCGTACCTCTCATGTTTTAAGCACTCACTAATTAAATTGATTTATCTCTCTTCCAAAGAGAATCATATTTTAAAACTCTGGGAGTATTAGTGATTAATATTTTGCTATCTAACACTACTTTGCATTATAGGTAAAGGTACCATCTTTAAATCAATTTTCATATGAACTTAAAACTTTTCTAACAGTCAACCATCTGCCTTTCTTACACATAATCTCATTACTGTTGTTTTTGTTTTAATTTAAAAGACTTTTTTGTTTCATTTTGCCAAAGGATTTGGAGGGATTTAAATAAGGCCTTCCTCTCATTTAACTGTTTTTTTACGTTACTCAAATGTCCAAAAGTATATCTTACATTAATCGGAGGCCTCTTTCCTCACCCTATTCCCTGATCACACATTCCTACCAGCATACCCACCACCCTTGGCCATACTGCACCCTCCATATCTCTTGCAGGAGTTATAATAAAAAAAATTACAGGAAGATGGTAACATCCTCAAACTAGGGGAAGTATCTGCCCAATACAGAGACCCATGATGGGCAGAGATTGATTGGAAATTGTATTCCAAGAAGTTAACCAGATAAGGTGAAAATGATCCACCTCTATATAAATGCAGGAGTACCATTTAATAGTATAAACCCGTAGCTAGCAAACTAGATTACCTGCCCATGGGTATGGTAAAATATGTAGAGAAATACAAAAAGATTAAGTTACACAATGAGATTCTCCTATACCTTTTGAACCCTTATCCTATTATTGCTATATTAAGAACTGTGGAAACTGAATCCCAAACTTCTTTTCTGATATGCTATTCAGATTTGAAGGCTGGAAGTCAAGACCCAGGCTACTCTCTGCTTTTCAGCAATCCAATACTAGCAGAATTCTGAAAAGGTGGTTTCACCACTGCCACCCCTGAATAAAAAGGAAAGAGAATAGGTGTCAGGTAATATCAACATCAGACGTCACAGGCAGTCATCAGGTTATTCTTTCAGCTGCTTACCAGTGTGACTCCTTTTATGTACCATAAGCACATTGGGCCCAATGCAAACCATGCCACAGACGTCACATTTCAGTTTACCATTCGGAAGCCGGATTCCTCCCTCGCCTTGAAGCTCCTGGACTTTCCTGTTGTCGGCCACCTCGCTGCTCTCAATTAGGGGTTCTTCTAGGCCGCTACCTTCATCATGGCCCCTGATCTCATCTTCACAGCTCAGGGGTTTCCTGTCACACTCTTCATCACTCTGCATTTCTAGCTTTACTGAATTTGCTGTAATTTAAAAAAAGAAGAAATAAAGGAATTTTAAATGCAGGTCGTGGTGTCACCTACATCTCTTCTCCACCCAGTGCCATTCCACGAACACGGATGGAAATCACCAATGCGACATTATTACAGACTGTGCTCAGAACTATTTGAGTGACTTTGGCATCGAAGTGAAGATGGCTCAGAAAAGCTCTAGTAAACAGAATGACACTTTATTTGTACACTCATTTCTTTCTTTAACTTAGTTATATGCTTTTAAAACAAGTCCTTAATTCTGGTATGGGCTTTTGATTTTGTCGCTACCGAGACTCGGCATTGTGTATGAGACAAGATTAGATATTGCCTAACCCACTGAGCCAGGCTTCTCCTTAACACTCATATATATACTATAAAAATACACATACAATATATACATAATATATATACCTATATATATATATACACAACATACGCATACAACATATACATATATAACACTTCTGTCTTACATCAGAATACTTGTGTAAACCTGCTTCAGGGCTGAGCAAGAGAAACAACTTGGGATCTCAATCTAGCAAATGTCTTAGATGTATGAAGGCATACCGTCAAGGCAAATACCCTAAAATCAGCTTAAAAACATATATTCAGTGAAGAGCTATATAAATGTAGGGCAGAGTGCACAGACTTCACATGCTCTTAAGCTACTCTTTTTTTATATGAAGAAAATTCTCTATGGAACATATTAGTCTGCAAATCAAAGTATTCCAGCTTTAATCTATGCACACCAAAAAGCAATGAATGACAGGAATGGCATAGCAGGCATGCACGCACTTCTGACTGTTAAGAAATTTAATGCCTTCTGTTTGCTGTTTTTGGATCATCCCACAGAAATGTTGGAATTTTGTTAGCACAGCCCTCATTCTGGATTGCTGACAAAGTCTTTTCACAAAGCAGAAACAGGCTTTAAATGAATACCAGTTTTTTATCCCCTGATGTTGAAATTCTTCAGAAATCATATCAAAGTTCCTGTGCAAAACAAATTATTTGGTACTACTTGAATGAAATACATTCATAAAAAGGAAGTAAGTTTTTTTGCTGCAATTTTCTTAGAGAAACCACGCATTCTGTTGATTTGTCATTAGGACTTTAAACAGGTAGCGCTATCAAAATGGTTCTTCCCCTGTTCCCCTCCCTTAGAACTCCCCTAAGAATAAAAGGCAGCCTTGGGGCACCTGGGTGGCTCAGTGGGTTAAAGCCTCTGCCTTCGGCCCAGGTCATGATCCCAGGGTCCTGGGATCGAGCCCTGCGTCGGGCTCTCTGCTCAGCAGGGAGCCTGCTTCCCTTCCTCTCTCTCTGCCTGCCTCTTTGCCAGCTTGTGATCTCTGTCTGTCAAATAAATAAATAAAATCTTTAAAAAAAAAAAAAAAAAGGCAGCCTGGGTACAAAATGATGACTGCATTTACTCCAAAGACCATGGCTTTGACATTTATTAGCAGTATAAACTTGAACTAATTATTTAATGCCTGAACCTTTTTTGTCTTTTGTTTGCAAAGCAGACATAAGTTCAAATCACAAAATGAAGTTGAAGTAGAATAGTTCAGCTATTAGGATTGAGGACCCTATAACCAAACTGCCTGGATTTGAATACCAGCTCTGGCACTCCCTGGAAGCAGTGTCACATTTTATAAGATACTTAAATCCTCTGTGTACTTTATAAAATGAGGATGATAATGGTACCCACTTCTCAGGCTGATGTAAGCATTAACTGAGCAAATACAGAAAATGGGCTTAACTCTTGTTTTTTTGGTGGCAGACAGCGCTCTATTTTTTCCATAAAGTTTTGTAAAGATCAATTATAGTATGTATGTACACTACTCTGAGATGTACAAAAGAGTATATAGCCTTTTTGGCCCCATTTCTAATAGAAAATCTCCTACACTGAGTTTTAACCTACTTATAAATTAGTACCACTTTACCAGTTTTTGAGAAGAGGAGACAACGATACTTTATCCCTCTTCATTTCCCCAACATGTTCAAATAATGTGTGGCCTCTAAGGAGGTGTTCAGGCAGTATTCGCCATGGTGTTTTAGTAAATTAAGAATTTTCTTTCTTTAGAATTTTTTTTAAGATTTTATTTATTTATTTATTTGGCAGAGAGAGAGAGAGAGAGAGAGAGATCAGTGAGAGGGAGGACACAAGCAGGGGGAGAGGGAAAGGGAGAAGCAGGCTTCCTGCCGAGTGGGAGCCCAATGAGAGGCTGGATGAGGGGCTCGATCCCAGGAAACTGGGGTAATGACCTGAGTGGAAGGCAGATGCTTAATGACTGAGCCACCCAGAAACCCCAAATTAACTCCTTTTCTACTTGAAGTTCACCATCACTAAATTCTGATCTCAAAAGCAACTTTTATCCTCATTTTCTTTTTTTTTTTTTTTTTTAAAGATTTTTTATTTATTTGACAGACAGAGATCACAGGCAGGCAGAGAGGCAGGCAGAGAGAGGAAGGGAAGCAGGCTCCCTGCTGAGCATAGAGCCCGATGTGGGACTCGATCCCAGGACCCTGGGATCATGACCTGAGCTGAAAGCAGAGGCTTTAACCCGCTGAGCCACCCAGGCGCCCCTTATCCTCATTTTCTAATTCAGAACAGTATGTGAGTATGTGTATGTGTGTGTGTGTGTGTGTGTGTGTATAGATGGTCTCTCTTTACACGAATTGGGGTATACAAATTATCTGACCTTTGCTTTCTTCACTTAACAATATCTGTTTAATTTTTCCATATTATTACACAGAAATGCACACTATTCTAACAGGTGCATAAAATCTATTTTACCAATATAATTTATTCCTAGGCTTTATCAATAAAATCTAAGATTGTTTGCTTCTATTATAGATATTATTATATATCACATTGAACTGTCAAATCTGTTAGGTAAAAACTGGTATTTTACTATAGATTTTAATCTGAAATTTTTATGGGTGAAATTGAGCATCTATGTCTATGTTTAAATGTTTGGGGGTTTTGGAGGGCTTTTGGGGAGCTGGCAATGGAAGTTATTTGCCCATTTTTCTACTAGGTTGTTGGTTTTTATGCTAAGGTTGGTTGTTGCTTTATATGCTAAGGAACTTAACCCCATGTTTGTTATGTTTTGCAAATGTTGCATTATTACTCAAGGGTATTTGGGAGCACGTATTCTAATTTTACATTTTGAATTTTAATGTTTTCAATTGTGGTTTCTAGAGTCTGTATTTTGCTTTAATAATTTTTTCCATACTCCTAGAAGTTTTCCATATTTTTTTTTCCTGGAAATGAAAATTATTCTAATCAGAGTAAAACACTAATTTTTACCCTATGTAGTCCCATATTTCATTCATAATTCTCATTTAAAGAAAAAATTAAGAAAACAAATGAAAAGTATGATGATATAGCATGACTTCATATACCAATCTGTGAGCAAACTGTCCTACATATTTAAGTGATGTACCAGAGGTTATAAACTGCACAGCAACGTCATCATTTATATTCATGAACTGGTCGACATCTGATAAGCTGCATTTAATGAGTGTAAAGTCTACCAGCATTCCATTTCAGGAATTGAAGAAATGTATCTTAAAAGAGTAGGTCTGAGTTTGAAACTTCTAGGCCTCTTAAATTTCAAAACAGCACAAAATTATGAAGAATACAACTTGATGTTATATTAAATGATCACCTTTCCCCTAGTGAGAATAATATGGACATCAAATATAATATCTAATGGGTAAAATGTCATTTAAAAATTACTGTGTATTAAAATTATAGTTAGAGCTTTGTATCCACAGAGGAATATAACTGAATATCCAAAAAAGTATACATTTGTTAGAACTAAAATACAGAAGAAATGGTAAACTTTAGCAATCTTTTCTCCAACAACATTATACTCTAAAGCATTATATGTTTATCACATATGAATGTATATACTACTGCTATAGCAAATATAGTAATTTATATTTATTGATATAGCAAATCAATAAATGCAACATTTTATTATACATTATATTTTATCACATATGAATGTATATATTACTATAGTAAATATAGTAGTTTATATTCATTGATATAGCAAATCAATAAATGCAACAATTTTAGTATATACATATCATAGATGAAATTTTCCATTAATATGGTGGTCTATGTACAAACAAAATCCCATCATAATTAACTTTTATTCTGCTTCACTAAAATTAGGTTGAAATTTAGGATTAAAACAATTAGTCTTTGAATTTCAATTGTTAAATGAAAAAAACTTCCTTACTCAAAGAATATAAAGAAATTCCCTCATAATTTATTTTCACTATTTAAGATGTTTCTAAATAATGCAGAATACTATATTTTAACTCATTAATTAAACTTAAGTCTTCAGTAAATTTATGTATACTCTAAATTACAATTTATATATCAATGAGTTGTATTATGATTATTTGTAGCTATAATATATAAAGCTACTATAAATATTAATCATTGTATAATATTCATAGTATATTTGTTATCAAAATTTTACTCTTTATTATTTGGTATTTCTTTTACTGTTTGGTAACAGGAAAACATTCTCATAAATGGGCTAATTTCTATGAAGATGAGAATTTGTTAGTGTGAGAGGGATGAATTCTTGTTATTACAATCTCGAGACCAAGAAATATTTTTTAGACTGTTTCCTCGATATGCCGGAATTTTACATTCTTCTTTTCATATCTATAGGAATTTATACACATTAATCTAATGACAAACTAGTAAAGACAATATTTTGTAACAACAAATTATTAGCAATGAAAAGGGATGTGAAATAAGATTTTTTTTTAAAGAATTTATTTATTTGACAGAGAAAGAGAGATTACAAGTCGGCAGAGCAGCAGAGTGGGGGGAGGAAGCAGGCTCCCCGCTGAGCAGACAGCCCAATGTGGGGCTCGATCCCAGGACCCTGAGATCATGACCTGAGCTGAAGGCAGAGGCCCAACCCACTGAGCCACCCAAGCACCCCTAAAATTTTAATTAA